ATTACATTATTTAAACTATATTGTAAACTCTTTTTATGCTAGAACTATCAGATAAATCTGTAATGTTTTGCACCATATTCCATTGTTTTCCAACAAAGTTTTACATATTAATTCACAGATTTAACGGAGGAAATTATAGTTGCATAATTTATCATTTCCAGTAATCGCATGTATTGCAATTTTAAAACCTACTAAATCATTAGCAATTTTTAAACATTAAATTTTAAATATTTTACAATTTTTCTAATGGACATAAAATATGTAGGTTAATGCAATGTTTAAAAATAGCTTACACATGCACGCATTATATATTACATTAACCTAGATGTTCTGATGTGCATCAGAAAAAAAGAATATTGTGTGTGTGTGTGTGTGTCAGTCATTATGGGGTATGGAGTGTAGATTGATGTAGAAAAAATATTTTTAGCATAAGGCTGCTAAAATAGATATACAGTGGGGATCAAAATTAGACAACAATTCATAAATACTTGAGTTTTTTTCTGCAATATTGTTAATCTTCATCGCTTAAAATTTGAAGGAATATCAGCTATAGGAATATCACTGCTACTAACATGTTTGACAAAATAGCCAAGGCATTTCAACAAAAAATGTTCAGTCTTTCCCCAGTTTGAAGCTGAACAAAACGATTTCCATCGGACCCAAATTAACTAAACTTGCTCTCATCATAAAGTGAACATTGGACCAGTTCTCCTCTGTCCACACAACATGCTCCTCCGCAAAGGTGAGTCTAGTCTTTTGCTTCTTTCTGCTGATGAGAGACTTGGTCACTGCAGAGTGTGCTTTCATTCCGACTTCTCTTAAAAGTGTCAAGACAGATCCTTAACCCGTTCAGCACTGAGCTGGCGAGCAATTCCAGCTGCAGTGTTGAGCCGATTCCCCATTGAGAGTCTCCGCATTATCCTGTCTTCTCGTGCATTTGTCTTACTTGGACAACCAGCCTTTTTGGGGGACTTGAATGAATTAGTGTCATTGTACACCTGCAATATTCGAGAAATTACAGATTTGGAACGGCAAACTTCCTGTGTAGTGGCTGAAAGGGTCATCCCTTTGGCCTTCATCTGGACTGCCTCATGTTAAAGGTTTCAGTCATCTTAGAGCAGCCCGGGATCTTGCAATCTCAGTGAAAATTAGAGGAATGCTGCCGGTTAAATAGGGTCTGTCATATAATTAAGTTAATTAGCACCAGGTGCCAGATTAACACCAATAACTTGGAGGTATCTGTAAGTGTTCTTTAATTTTTATCAGAGTTCTTTTTCAAATATCTAATTTAAGTTTTTTATACTGTGCTTCAGAATACAATTAATTTAAAAACTGCCCTTCTACTCCTGTTAGGATAAGTAGTTTATAGCACTGCAGTGAACTGTGCTAGCAATGATGGTTTCAACTAAATGTCTGTTTTAGCCATTATTTAAGTCAATGTAAAAATACTACTATTTAAGTACTGCTTTAAACACTAATTAAGCAGCCGTTTCTGAGTGATGAGATGTTAAAGTAGTTTCACATGCCAGCTGTTCCTGTGATACCTGAATGATATCTCAAGTACGGACAAATCTACCTACTGTACTTAACTCCATCCTCTTTGTCATTCATCAAAAGCCCAATAAACAACAACCACATCCCCACTACTAAGAGAGGCCATAATCACACAATCATAAACACACACACAACTGTAAACCTGTGCTGTCATCAGCCCTATTTGCTCAAAGGAATGTAAACAGTGTGTATGGAGAGGAATGTGAAATGCCACTTACTGAATATGTGTATCTGCAGGGCCGGTGCAAGTGATCATCCCACAAAGTGCTTGTGTTCACCGGCAAGGTTTGTCATGCTATACGGACATGCTGAGGCCTTTGGAGTCACATTTGGGCCTCTGAATGAGGTTTGGGCCTGAGGGATACAGTACAGGAGAGATTACATAAGATTTGAGCAATGCAAATATAGAATATATGAGTTTCTCCAAAGGAACATTTTTCTTTTGTGGTTTTATTCATTCATCAGACTGTCTTCAGAATACTGGAATGATAAAGCTTTGCTTCTGTGCACAGGATTTTATTATAACTGTACTCCAAGTATAATTTATTGATGTCAATGTGCTCTAGATATACAAACCCTCAACTTGAAGCTAGGGTGCAGAGGATCTGGATAGGCATGCTGGGCATTTTAGACGCCCGATTCCACATTTGCTTGTGCTTAGAGGACATCGGGAGCCGAGAAATAGCAATCCTGGCTGCAGCATCAAAGGGTGATAAATAAACCTGTTAAACAAGCCTGATAACATCCGCAGAGCTGCTCTCCATCACACATTAAATGCAGCGTTTAAAAACCGGCACTGCATTTATGAGCCTTAGTAAAGCCATTTTCCAGGATAAAGGAAAATGCTTGGGCCAGCTGGCATCTTGCTCCATGTGAGATCTGCTGCAGGTTAGTGCACAGATGCAAACACAGACAAGAAGACTGAATGAGAGAGACAGATGAACAATGAACTTCATATGAAGCTTTCATTGTGCAAAGCAAATGGTACTTTCCATAAATACGATACAAATTGTTGTATCTTGGTTTACAATTTTTGCAACCCTGTTTCTTTATATACTGTAAACAATGTATTTACACATGAAATGCATATCAAATCCAGTAACATCCAATAAAATGGAATAAAACACCCAGAAAGGGTCAAATGGAAAGGGTAACATTAATTAATAAGCATTAAATCTCATGGAACAACACATGCCAATTTGAACCTTTATTTTTAAGAATGTACAAGTTGAAGTTGGTAAATTAAAAGGAGAATATTATCTTTATATATCTATCTTATATATATATATATATATATATATATACAGTAGAATATATATATACAGTAGTCAACATTTTAAGTGGATCAAAACCTTTCATCAAAGTTGACCTAAAACCTAAAACCAAAAAGTGTTCTTGTCTTAGGACAACTTTGATTAACTTTTTTGATCCATTTCAAATGTTGACTACTGTATATATATATTCTACTGTATATATATATATATATATACAGTAGAATATATATATACAGTAGTCAACATTTTAAGTGGATCAAAACCTTTCATCAAAGTTGACCTAAAACCTAAAACCAAAAAGTGTTCTTGTCTTAGGACAACTTTGATTAACTTTTTTGATCCATTTCAAATGTTGACTACTGTATATATACATACATGTCTGTAATCTTGTTTATTTTTTACTTTTGGGTCCTTCTCGCTAAAAATAAAAAATAAATAAAATTAAATTTCTGACAAATCACAAAAATTACAAAGTCACAAAGTTTAATATTAAACCCTTAGACCTTAAGCAAATGTATTTTTATGATTATGTATGGCTATGATTATGTTATACGATGCATGACATGCAAGGAGAAAAAATGGTCATGGTTTGATTAAATTAAAACAAGGGAATGAATTAGTATAATGTGGCCATAATTTAACTAAAATGAGGAAACAAATGAATAAAAGATAGCCACAAATTAATAAATTCTTCAGGAATGAATTCTTAAGTCATGGCCCTGATATCTTTTTTTTTTAAATCCCATGTCACGTGTGGGGCTCTGTATATATGCGTGCAATTAATTGAACAAAGTCATTCTTCCATTCATGCAGGAATAATTTCACGACATTGAGGTCAGTAGGATTCGAGTACTTTCACACTGAATCCAAGTGTTGATATCTTCACATTTCTTAAAGGTTGTTAAACACAGTGTTGCATATAGTGCAGCATTAGGAGTGTGAGATCTAGATGAGAGTGATAAGATAGCAAATGTGAAGACTGTCTCTGTAAGTAGGTTATGCCCGAGGGTTCTCACAACCGTCTTGTCTGAAACTGCCTCTGAATTATGAGATCATTGCAACATCTGCTGGTTATAGGGACTGACGCTGATGGACGGCCAGGTGTGTGTGTACATACTGTACAGATATACAAACACAGGCTCACTGCACACTAATGAAAGCGGAAATGAAATGCAACTTGTGTCACAAGATATCCGAATAACTGTCTCAATATATTTACTCAGTCTGTGTGTCAGATTGAGTCATAAGATACATTAATTACAAGAGTAGAGCCCCTCCAACAGCTCCAGCTGCTCATTTGAAAAACCACACAAAAGGTAAAATCATTGAGTTACACATATATTACAAGTTCATGTTACATATGTATTATGTTAACATAATTGTGTTTATTTATACTAGCATATTCTATATATTGTGCAACTGGCAGACACTTTTGTTCAAAGTCACTTGCAATTAATTCAAAAGTTTGGGGTAAGAATTTTAAAACGATATTGAAAGAAATGCTAACCAAGGCTGCCTTTATTTGATCAAAAATATGTAATATTGTAAAATATTATTACGGTTTAAAATATCTGTTTTCTATTTTAATATATTTTAAACTGTAATTTATTCCTGTGATGGCAAAGCTTAAATTTTCAGCAGCCATTACTCCAGACTTCAGAGTCACACGATCCTTCAGAAATATGCTGAAATATGCAGATTTGCTGCTCAAGAAACACTTATTCTTGCTCTAATTAGTATTATTATTATTACTGCTTAATATTTTTGTAGAAACTGTAAATATATATATATTATATATATATATATATATAGAGAGAGAGAGAGAGAGAGAGAGAGAGAGAGAGAG